GAGCCCGGCATCTGCGCCAGGGCGGTTTCCATAGCACGGAATCCCCCAGCCTCCGTGTTGAGGGGGGTCCCCCACACCGTTCCCTGTGAGGCTTCCTGAGCAAAGCTCCCCGAGCCCAACAGCCCCGTGGTGATGCTGAAGAGAAAGGATGCTCCTCGATGCCCTCAACCCGGGCCAAAACCTGTGAGACGCTGACTGAACCTGCCTCCTCCTCTACCCGTTTCCTGATGGGTTGCCTGTTTGCCTGCCAGGGACAGGACATCTCAACAGACACTGTTGACGGGTTCGCAATCACGACGAGAAAAACTTATCTACGCAGTTGCAGATAAGCAGGCACTTCTTTATTCTCAGCGCTGGGGATGCGCAGAGGATCGCTCCCTTAATTGTGTAATTGCGCTCTAGTGCCCATAGATTTTCACAGCCTATTGATAAATTTTTAACAAAGCAAAATCATACGAGCATGCATAAGATCATCACCTTTTACTCCCCTCACCTTGATTGGTTCCCCACTATCACGCCACATAGGACATTGCATTACCCCTAGAATTTTGTCAAAAAAGGTTTTCGGTCCATTCCCACGATGGTCTGACCACAGCTGTTATCCTTCATTCTATTGTCTAATTCTTCTCTTGGGCATGGTACATGCTGAAGCACTACAGAAGTGCTTATACAAACATATCTTGCAATCTTTCTTAATTCTATAGTTAAAACAAATACCTATTCTAACTACATAATCATCAACCCACTTTAATTACCTTGATCGGTCAAAGTGCTCTTTTAGCTCTACTGCTGAAACAAATACCCACCCCAATCGGCCAAAATTTTCTTGTAACTATAACACCACCACCATCCTCTCATGCCGGGGCCTCGATCCCAAGCCCATCCCTCCTGGGCAGGCCAGGTTGGTAGCCCCTGCCCTCGCACACCTCAGCGGCCGTTTTCCTGCCAGTTGTCCAGTGCCGCTGGTTCTGCTGCATTCCCAGCCCTTCCCTGCTTAGGGAGAGGCCTCGTTAAAGCATTCTGGAGATCCACATGCACCCTGTGAGGGAACCTCTCTGCTCAAAGAGGCGTCCCTGGGAACCCGTAGCCTTCCTCCTTGTTCACCATCTCCTCAGCCAGCATCTTGGCTTCTCTGGTCCTTGCCCTGGCACCAGCCCCTGAGATGGACTCCATCTCCCCCAGCAACCAGGTCACCCCATGGTCCTCTTTGGAGCCACTGCCCATGAGCTTGGCATGCCCAATGGCTCTGAAACCCAGCTCTGCCAGCTGGGACCCCCTCCAAAAGGTCCTCCTGCACAGGGTGCTCCCCTCCCAGACCACTCCTGGGATGCTGGGCTGGGAATTGCTTCCCTACTGCTGCTCCAGGAATGCTTTGGTCAGGGCAAGTTTGAATGCTGCAGGTGGACATATTCACTGAAGTGCGCTGCGTGCTGATGTTGAAGTGTCACACTAACAGCCTGTAGCGTAAAACCAGGTAGGATTCAGATCTTCCTCCTTCTCAGGCCATCAGCTGCAGTAAAAATTCCTCATTGGTCCCTCAGGTATTGCAAGACACTCACATTTTCACGTCTGGAACACCGGCTGCCACAAATACTAGAGATCCCAAAATCAGAAAAAGTCATTTATTGCAGAAAAGCAGAAAGGTGACAGATGAGTCACAGTGAAATATCTTTTTTTCTTTTCTTTTTCCTGGGCAAATACAACATTCTCATGTCGCTATTTATTGAGCTTTTTAAAAGCTAATATCAGAGTAAGCAATAATAGGAACTGTTACTAGACAAACATTGGCAAAGCTCAGGCAACAGTTGGCATCCGAGACAGAAAGAAAATATATGATTGTGTGGTAGATTCTCAACAGGTTTTTGCACAATCAGAGTCTGAAGAGCCATACTGCTTATGTCAAATTTGAGATGACAATAAGAATTGGCTGTCAACATACAAAGCTATTGCAACAGCTTGCTGTCTTCAATACTTCAGTAGTCCCAGTTAGAATGAGGAAATCTTGGTGACCCACCACAGTTCCTAAACAGCCTGAGTGGGTACAAATGTGAGCAGCTACCAAGAGAGAGGGGCACAAGGGAGAGCATCAAGTTACAGACTTCAACTGGCTGGAGAAATGGAACATCATGAAGTTCAACAAGGAGATTTGCAAAGTCCTGCCCCTGGAGAGGAACAACTCCAGGCACCAGTATATGCTGGGAGCTGACTGACTGGGAAGCAGCTCTGCAGGAAGGGCTGCTGAGGGTCCTGGCGGACACCAAGTTGTACTTGAGCTAGCAATGTGCCCCTGCAGCAAAAAAAGACTATTGATGTCCTGGGCTGCACTGGAAGTGTTGCCAGGAGGCTGGGGAAGCTGATCCTTCCCCTCTGCTGAGCACTGGTGAGGCCACACCTGCAGCAATGTGTCCAGTTCTGGGCTCCACAGTACAAGAGAGATATGGGCATACTACAGAGAGAGTACAACAGAGGGCTAAGAAGATGATGCAGGGACTGGAGCATCTCACATACGAGGAAAGACAGACAGAGCTGGGACTGCTCAGCCTGGAGAGGAGAAGGCTCCGGGAGATCTCATCAATGTGTATCAACATCTGAAGGGAGGCTGCCAAGAGGATGGAGCCAGTCTCCTTCCAGTGGTCCCCAGTGACAGGACCAGAGGCCATTGGCACAATATGAAACATGGGAGGTTCCCTCTGAGCATCAGGAAACAGTTTTTTTTACTGTGAGGGTGACTGAGCACTGGCACAAGTTACTCAGGGAGGCTGGGAAGTCTCCATCCTTGGAGATATTCAAAAGCTGTCTGGCTATGGTGCTGGGCAGCCTGGGTGTCCCTGCTTGAGCAGGGGCTTGGACCAGATGACCTCCAGAGGTCCCTTTCCACCTCAACAGCTGTGATCCTGTGCTGCCTCCTTCTCCAGGAAACCCCTTTCTGCTACTCCTCGTGCCAGCGTTAGCACTTGGGCAGCCGCATTGCAAGGGGGAGATTACCTGGCTGAAGACTTAACTTGTGGGGAAGAAAAAAATAAAATCACAGTTCTCAGCTTCTTACACTGTTGCACAGCTGAGCCTGCTTTCGAGAGGTTTGGGGCTGTCTGCTGGGGACAGAACTGCCTTCGCGAGCAGAAACCTGCTTCCAAGATGATGCAATGTGACCACAAAACCACAGCCCCATTCCCAGCAGAGCTGAAGACAGCCACCGCCACTCAGAAGCAAGCTGTGGGTCTGTCTTCTTGCATGAGGAAAGAGAGAATTTGGCTGAAAAGTCATAAAAATCTCCCCACCATTGAAAAAAACAAAGTTTTGACCACGTGCACCAGCACCAG